AATCTTGAATAAATTAGATGGTTGCACATTAAATGGGTAAATTAAGAGTGGTTGGTAATATATGTGGGTTGCACGTTAGTTTTTCGTTTTATGTTCCAGTAATTTCCTGGTATGTTTAAAATTTTATAACAAATTATATGATAATGATGAAGATTTCATTCACACTCACCGGTTACAGTGCATGACATTTTAACCCTGACCGTAGGGTTAAACATATAAACATTCCTTTATAAACATACATAACATCAAACATAACTTTCTGATGATCTACCAAATATAAAAGTATTTTTGTAACATTTACAATATTAGCTTAAAACAGCAATAATGATTTGTAAAATGGCATTTCGTATGTCTAGTGCGACCTTTTCAAATGAAACTGTATTTCTGTGTTGAAATGATCGGTACTGCCTGAATACAATTCTAATGTGGTGCCAAGACGGCAGTTAGTCAGTCAGTTAACATTATATTATAAATAACAGACCATCCAAAAATATGTAAAGATGAAGATGTCACTCAACTTAAGATATGTATTCCCCCACAACATCGCGTACCTCGTTACATATATCGTAAACTATATTAAATAATCAATTTAACGTTGAATACCTACATGAAATAAGATACCAAACGGAAAAATAACGTATCTCATGATTATAATATAATTCGGAACAAGGTAAGGTTTATTCTATGCTTAAAAGAGAAGAAAGGAAACACAACGTTTCGGCTGTGGAGCCTTCTTCGGGTGCGAGGGGTTCGCATGCTGCCGCAGCTACCTACTTAAACAATTTGATCATATAATTATGTATTTTGAACGATTGATGGATATTTAACATCAGTGATTTCTGTAATGCAACTGTTGTCAGTGTGATAGTCGTTATTATTGTGGCGGTCGTTGCGCCTAATTAAATCAACGATGTGTTTTCAGAATGATTTGGTCGGCTCCGAACCGGGATTATTCACTTTAGCGAAACACGGCGTTTAAAAAGACAACGCGAATCGAACTGCTATTTACTTTTTTTTCCACCAAAACATTTGAGAACGTTTTCATTTATACTTTATGAAATGGGTAACTCCACCTTATATTACCAAAACAACGTCAGAAACGAATCCAGCGAAGTAGTGATGACGATCCATATTACAGCTACTAGTTATTCAAAAAACATTTTGAACATGACCTTCCGCGAACATGAAGCATATAATATATGCTTATAGATAGAAGCATATAATATATGATATATGCTAGTATGCCAGCTCAAATCTGGCACTTAATATTAAGGCAATACGACCCATTACGAAATACGAACCATATTATTTATGTAATCAATACATTATACAGATTTGATTTTATTATTCCGTGTCAGAGATCGCAAGTGTAGGTGGCGTTCAAACGTTTGAAATCCAGACCGATAAGGGGGGGGCGCAATTTCACGCCCGGCGGCTGTCAGGGTGTATAACGCTGCCCTAGGCTAGGTCTGTTAGCCTTTCATTTGTTCCTCTATGGACAGCATGTTTACTCCATTGTACTTTTTGGACAATCAGTCTGTATAAACCTATGCACATTTTGCACATATTTTATTGTTTTTACAGTGACTATGATCAGCACATTTTGCACACACCTATGTATTTGTTTTATAATTATTCCGATGTCTGTTGTGCTTGTCTTGGGCTGGACTGCTGTAACACATCAATTTCCCTACGGCATTAATAAAGTATTATCTATCTATGCCCGATCACAGTATCGAGCGCCCCGGCTAAAGGCAGATGTCGCGCGCGTTCGGCCCGCGTGAGGGTTCGACGCGTGGGGGGACCGCGCGCGCGGCAGGGGAGGCGCGAGGGGCGGCTGGGAACGGACGGAGAATTTAAAATCGCGCTCGGAACGTGCGACGGGTCCCGAAGCTGTGGTTTCTCGATCAAATATGCAAGTACATTCAGGGAAATACACGACTTCTTCTTCTTCTTCTTCTTCTTCTTCTTCTTCTTCTTTAACCGACGGCAGTTGTGGCTGGCGAGGACTGAAAATGATGAAGAGTTTGAGAAACAGGGGGCGCCCAGCTCGTAACGGCCCAGCAAAACCCAGCCTGTCCACCCCCCTCCTCCCGGTTCCCCGAGCCCTGCCGGTTTAAAGGGACACTGCCGTGTAAAACGCGCTTGACCGGCATGGAAGAAGCCCTTTCACGGCCACACGGAGGACAGGACATGAGCAGCACACAAGGGGTGAGATGGCACAATCCCCAGAGGCAGGTGTCCTCTTTTTATCATTTCACAACGTCGAGCTCGGTGGCAGGAACGGGGGGAGAAGTGTCGTTTCCCTTGCGCTACTCTCATTCATATGATGGGATATTAAGAGACGTTTTGTAACACAGAGGTTTTATTATTATTCCACCAAGGTTCTTCATGGATGTCCTTAAATTGGCCAATGGCATTTTTAGGGTTAGATGGTTTAACGGCCATTAGATGGTTTGTCTATTATATCGACTGTGTTGCATGGCATACCTTAAACGGCTTTGTGTGCTATAGATTCATATGTATATTCTTGGCATTTTTACAAGACAGTAGTGGACATAGAAAGTGTTCCAGCTTTAGTGCTTGTTTTCTACCAAAAACTGGTAGAGGGTAACCCGTACAAACACGTTGGACAGCAGGTCCCTCAAACCAAGTCTTGGCTGCGAGAGACGACGCGCAGACCGTTTTGAATGACGACACATCGTTCGGATGACGTCACCGCACCGTGACGGAGCAAGCTGGTTGACTTTCCAAACATTGACTGTTTTGATTTAATTACGGTCGCCAATCAGCGCTTAGCAATAGTTGTTTTAGAATCCGATGACGCAAATGTCTCGAAAAACACCAAGCAGTCAATAGAACACTTTCAGCAGAGAAACGCGTGCAAACATCATCATTTCTCAGCGGGGTGGCAGACATCTTGAAATGCTTTTTGCTTGAGTTCAGTCGACATTTTACCACGGAGCTGATCCGGTACCGCCTCTTTTTTGCCGCGAATCACACCCAAAAACTCCCGCTGCAGTATGCAGGCCTTGCGAGGTGAGAAAAAAGAGCACGGTGGAGTCGGACAAGTCAATAATACAATATTGAGTATTTTTTATGTAGAATAGTAGGTCTATATAACTGCATGTGCATACGATTTTATTGTAGACATGTATAGACCTTATGTGTGTAGTGGCCAGGGAAAGTTCTAGCATTTTATAAAAGCACGTTCTATTATTTTAAGTGGTCTAGATCTGCGATTTCACAGTATTTTAATATGGAAGATTAGAGCAGACACATACTATGAGTTTGTTAGTTTCCTTAATTGGAATTGGAAAACTTTTGGCTTCAAAATAAATCAAAATCTTTGGTGAAAATAAAGTATTTCCAATACTCAAAGTCAATAATTAGGTTGTATTATTGCCATTTATTTAAGAAACTGTAAATAATCTTTTAAATATTAATAACATTTTAAGAATATGGCCTACCAAATCAAAATGTAGTTTTTAATAGGACAGATACTACACAAAAAGTGTACTGTGCTATTAAGATCATTATTGTGAATTGGGAGTTATAGAAGTTATTGTATTAATGTATTTTTCTATTTTTATCCTATAGATATATTTTACTGTAGTTTTTACATCTGTGAATTGAATTTTTCAGGTCAGAGAGTTGGACAGATTCCTCTGATCTCTGGAGAAGCACTTCGATATACAGGTACAGTAGCTATGATAAACTACATTGGTCTAGGAATATGTTCGAGCTTAAGTGCTTTTTGAATGTGAATTTACAGTAATTTTCATTTTCATAGTATTTAAATTAAATTATGTGAATGTTGTATTATTGTTGCTTTTCAATAATGACATAAATAAAAATCCAGTTCACTAGTTCACTGTAGTTAATGAGTGATCATGGAAAACAGAGAAGGAGATGCTGTTTTACTGTAGACTGACCCTCTTTTTTTACAGGCGTAAACAATAATAATAGGCGTGAAGTATTGGTATTGTCAAGGGCACAACTGTTATTTTTAAAACCCATTTCTAATTTAAAATTGTCATACTTTTTTTTAAGGTGATGCACTGATGTACCACCTCCCTGCACCAAACTCCAGTCAATATGAAAGCCCAGCTGCAGGTAAGGTGAACAGGCAGTTATTTACAAAGCTACCAGGGACATACAACTGTAGGTTAAGTGTAACCTAGATAGCCTAGGTAATGCACTGTTTCCCAAATTATGTGAGTGTAATTCTATATAAAAGAAATAAACTTCTCAATCATATTTTCTCTCCTATTGATTATTCAGATGAATAATCTGAATCATGTTTAAAATTAATTTAATATTTAAATATATGTTTTTTGTTCAGAAGCCAAGGCACTATGTTAGTTTTCTATCACACTATACTACAATAGTATTACACCTCATAAAATGTATGTACATTAACACATCTCATAGAACTGAACAACTCTTTTTTGCCTTTAATTTAGTAAGAGAGCCATTGCAGAATGAAAAGATCCCTATAACAGTTTTGATTATTTAGATTTCTTATGAAAATATTTTAAATAATGAATAACTGTGTGTTGCTGGTCAAAGTGGATATCACAAAATCTATGTTTAACTGCATACTGAAGCATCCTTCAGAACCCAAATCAGCCCACAAATAAGTTACTGAAGAGCAGCAAATGTATTTTTACCATCTGAAAAGCTTTTATTATAGTACAGGAAGATATGGACTGTATATGTTTAGATATGCCATGTGTATGAGATGACAATTGTTAAGTTCTTGGACTTGGACTTAAAGTCAATGAACTTCTTTCTCACCCCTTAAAGAATATATATTTTGTAAGGAACTGTTTATCTACATTTAGTTAATTGATTTTTTAGATCTGGATATATATCAGCGCAGTGCAGCACAAAATGGAAACTTGGGTCTTCAATATTACAGCTTTACAGGTATGAAATGTTTAATTAAGGATTAAATGCCATTCCATGTTGATTGTTCACATTTGTTTGTTATTTTATGTGGTACCATGTTGTGTCCTTTTGTCGTTTGTCCTTTTGTCTGAAAATCCTATAAACAAATTTTACATATATGCCTTTACTGTATATCATAGTTGTTAGCATTGCAATGAAGATGAGCTTTAAATGTGCAAATTATTGTTTTGTGTTATGTGTACATGTGACTTTACAATAGAATTTAAAAATGTTTGGTTTTAGTTGAAGTCACACTTGCATTTTCCTTGGAATTTGAGTAAAGGCTCATGATTTGGTTGTTTGTACTTCTCTTTCAGGCCAGGGTAGAAATGGCATTCCTGTATTTCACAATGCTAGCTCCTATCAGCAGCAAGTGACATGGAGAGGTAAGTCATGTTTCAGACAGAATGCTTTTCCATGTTTATCTTACACAGGCTTTATATATTTTCTTCCTAGAACAGTGTATTTGAAAGGTAGAACTGTGAGAAGGATAATATGTTTTCTGAGTTCAAGAATAATGTTTTCTTTTCAGAGAATAATAATTTAGCTTATGAAACCAATAACACAATTAACCTTTGTATGTTGGAACAAGAATACAGTGCATCTTGTTTCATTGGAACCAATTCACTGTTTTTATGTATAAAATCAAGACCTGACGATTTAAGTTTCTGTAATGTTTCACTCTAAAAGAAAAGTGCTGTAATTGTTCTTTAAACTCAATAGGCCATCTTGAGATAAATACGTCATAATACAGATAGTTCGTAATTTGAACTCTAATGAATGTTCATATTCTTTTTTAGAATATGGAGCACGTAACTATGGGTACTATCAAAATGTGCCATCATGGACCAGCTGGTGTCCTTCAACATACACATACTATAGCAATGAAAGTGCTTCTCAGCCCTATGGAAATCAGTTCCAGCCAGCTCTGAACTCTGTTCAATACCAAGGAAATGGAACCTGCTATTCTACAGGCAACAATTACCAGAGCTCTTATGCTTATAGCAGTGGATACCCTGTGCCTCTGATAAACTCTTATCATCTGGGACACCAGCTGTCTAGACCCAGCAACACTGTCTTAACTTATCAAAACCTAAATGATCATATCCAGCCCAGACTTCAAGAAAGAAAACCCTCACAGATAAGCCCCACGGTACCTATCTCAAATAAGAAAAAACCCTACATGGATCCTACATCAGTCGATAACTACAAACCTCAGGCCTTTGACATGATTGTCAATAGTTTAGAAAGGGAAATAGAAATTCTGTCCAAGAAGCCTCTTTTACCTGACAAAGTGAAGAGCATTGATACAGTATCTGCAGCAAAACCTCATTTTGTTGGTACTGAGAAGGAAATCTCAGTCACTCCCATACTTCAGGAAGAGAAACAGAACTTAACCCAGATCTTGGCTCACAGGTGTGACATTTCTGAACAGAGGGACAGCCAGGGAATCAGTCAAGGCCATGAAGAAAATTCCCAGGAGCAGATTAATTCCAGCATCATGACTTTGGATGATGGTTTGTGTTGTTCTCAGAGCCCTGAGATTAGTTGTAAGGAAGAAATAGAAGGACTCCAACGGGATGCTGACTTGGGATGTGGGGACATCAACGCTGCAGCCAAGAAGACTGTAAATAATATCACATCACTTGGTCTTCCAGAAGATCTCCTCTCTGCAAATTATGACTGCTCCATTGTATCAGCTATGATCTCTACAATGAATTATTTTTATAACATTAATGCTTCTGATGTCCCCAGTGACACAGATGATAGCCTAAAACAATACTTTACACATCAGAGGAAGAGAAGGAGGGATGATTATGAAGAGAGACTACGATCAAACACCTCAAACCTTTCTAAAAACTCTAGAAATGATATGCAGACAACTCTGATTAACACAATAAAGACAGAAACACAAAGGCATCCTCATGGAATAACAGAAAAACATGGACCTCCAAAAATCCAAAACATATACCGCAAGACATTAAAGAGAAAAGGGGCATTTTCAGAAACTGGATTTTTGGCAAAAAGAGCTAAGTTTGGAGATCATGCAGCTCTCCGGGCTTTCAAAAAATTGTGCTGGCGTCAAATGTAACTCAAGAACATTATGAAAGTGAAGATTTATTATATATTTTATGGGTATTTCTTAATAAGTAATTTAAATTTTAATTCAGTTGATATACATAAATATTTAGAACTACCAATATAAAGATTTGTTCTTAATGTACACGAAAATGGGTTTACACACTTTGTATGACATTTTAATAAACCATTGAATTTCAATAAGTGCTGCTTTTTAAGATTTTGGTATGTTATGTTTTGTAATTTTAATCTATTGAGAAACATGAGATGGTAACGCAGGATAATCTATCAATAAAATATCATATGTCTTGTAAATCTGTTAAACCTAATTCATGTTTCTGAAGTAACGCAAGTGTTTAGAAAATAATTTCTGAGTATCATTTAACCTGAAAGTATTTTATGAGAGTCAACATCTTATGGATGAAGGAACTTTGTATAACATTGCTTTTATCTTACATTTTGAAAGAAAGCTCACAATGTCATCTATCAGTGATTCCTTTGAGAGAAACTACTGTAGAAAGGTAATAAGATGGCTATTTCCAAAACGTATATGTTCTGTATGTAAAAATTGGGCAACTACAACTAAGTATATTCAATATATTACAGAAATGAATAATAAAATCATAAAAACATTATTTTTAGTATACCACCAATACAAGTGTATCTAAACACAACACATGTACTAGGTGTGGATAAAACACAATACTGTACCTTCTACTTTACCTAGAGACGTTGCCAAGCATATACATGATTTTTTTCTTTGTTATTACAGTTAGTTAAGAGAAGGATTTTCAAAGCATTTTGCTCCAGTATGAAGATGCCATTCTATTTGTTGTTATATGTGTGGAAAACAAAAATTGAAAGGTTTTACCTAAATATAAAGATATAAACAGTCCTAAACTTTGATAAGTCTGCTCCTGATAATAAAAAAATAATTTCCTTCTAGTATTCGGGCAGTCTGTATTAGCATTTGCTTCAGCTAAGACGTACTGTATAAAGGAACCAACACGTGATGTGAAAATCTAAAAAGCTAAATACAAAGATGTGAATTCCGTTAGATTACATGAGTTGACTTCAGCTGTGTAAAACATTTCATTCTTCTTGAAGACTGTAGTAAATTTGCATGTGAAAGAGCTTTGGGCTCATTAAGATGCTTTGCATGTTTTCAAATCAAAAAGAAAAACATGAAAAAAATAACAGCAAACTTGTATGAATGCACAACTTAAAACACAATTTGCCTCATAAGTAGTGGTCAAAAAGGTGTCCTTTGCAAACGTTGTTAACTGGCTACTACAGTAGAGTGTGCAGGAAGAAAGAAAAAACTGAATGGAATTGCACAGCCTGACCTCTCCTATTATTCCTCGTTCCCATGAGAATTACAACTGTTCCTACTGGAGCCTCAAGCAGAATCACAGGGCTTTTCATTTCAGGACTTAATTATGCACAATCGTTCGTAAGGTGTTAACAGTACTGAGTTTAGCAGCCAGCATGTCCTGTGGCAGCGAGACCATCCAGACACCAGATTGCAATGAAAACCTTCATGGATCAACAGAAAAGATAGGAAACAGGTAGGAAAACGATATTGAGTGCATGTTCTTAAGTTGTAAAAAAGCTCTTGTTTTTTTAAAAAATAGGTTATGGTACCTTTTAATAAGTTTTAAAGCTTGGATCAGTTTGAGTAGTGTGACACCCTTTACCACAAAGTTTGAATTTCCCAGTGGGAGATGTGAGCTCATGTATACAAGACATATTCAGAGAGGTTAGTTATTTATGTTTTAGTTATCAATCGACTGAGCAGAATTTTTTTGTGTATTAGCCTTGGAAGCCTGCTAGGACCTGTTTTCTTAACAAATTGGATCTGTACTGGGTTGAGTGTGGAGTTCTTCAGGATTGCGAGAGGCAGCTGTTTTGTGTGTTTTAGTCCTATACTTTTGTATGAAGGATTAGGCCACATGGGAAAAGAAAAGGACCTGGCACTGCATATACTCATGCCCTATGCCTGTGTTCAAAAATAAAAAATAACTTATTCGGTTTACCTTTCAAAGTATTGCAAAGGTTACAGAATCACAAGCCACAAGAGAACAAATTTTCCAACTCTTTTATTAACAAAAAAAAAGGAGACTTACAACTTTGCCTCCATAGTCTATGAAGTGAAGAATATAAAAAACAAATTCTTAACAGGTGCACAGTAAACCTTGATACTCAGTAGTTCATATGTACACCTTATATTATAAGCCTTTTAAATGTTGAATTGTGTTGTATTTAATTTCATTGGGAAAATAAAAGCCCAAGCACGGTAATTTTCAATTGTTTCACAACCCTTTTAAACAACACGAAGAAAGACATATCGAAACCTTTAATATGTTCTCTCTGCTCAGATTGGACAACTTGGTCTTTTAGACCCCTAAACTCTTTGTGTCCTCAATGGTTTTTCTGATCTTATAAATTTGTACTGCTTCTCATTCTTCTGCTGGATATGCCACACTGAAACCCCGGGAACTTTAACACCACCTTAAACTTTCCAATGCAAGCCTGGGTGTGAAAAATTTCTGCAGTCTACCTGTGTTATCTGGTCATATTTGGAAATGTCATTTTCTTATATATGTACATATAATAGTTGCAAGGTCACATTACCAAATACTGTAGTATTTGCTCATCGCATACAGCTGCTCATTTGAGTTTTTGAGTGTGGGTGGATTTTAATGGTAGTTTCTGCAGTGCTTTTAAAAATCATAGAAAGCAAATGGGCTTACTACATCTGTAAATGCAACATAACTTGCTTTTGTCATTTTCTCACCTTCAGAGGCCCATTATATCAGACAGAAACGTTCAGTATCTTCAGAGGCTGTTCTTTTTCATTTAATTTGCAAAGGAATAGCTGTTTAGACACTGGATTTGGGGCCAGTCTTTCTAGCAAAAGAAGCTGCCACTTCATCTGTTATTGGTGCCCGTTGCTGACAGCCTCTGAATGAAAATCAGAAACGGAAGCTGCTCTCTGAGCCACTGCCAAGCAGACCTCTCGTCTTCATTAATCACTGAATCGGGTCGGTTCGGGGGATTTTTTTGTCTGAGTTTATTTGCGGAAAATATTAAATAAAAAAGACGTCGGTTTCTGCACATTTCTCTGCAGAACCAAAAGCACAATTTGAAAGCATAATTGAAAAAAGGCTGGAAGTTTAAAGGATTCCAGCGCCACTGGGAACACACAGTTCTTTTTCGTTTACTGAGCTCTCTGTAACAAAGCCATGGGGCTTTAGTACTGAGTGACTAAAGCCTGACATTGTTTAGAGGGAACAATGCCCCCGAACTGGGCCACGTGATGCCCTGAAAGTTGAGGCTTGAGCAGCAGCTTGAATTTGAGGTTAAGCAGGTTTTCTTCAGCCTGTCCACTCCTTCTCTAGCCCTGCCTGCTTTACTCTCTGTGTTTCAGTCTGTTGCTGGCCATCGAGGGCTTCATGATAAATCCTGATGCACAGCAGCCGACAGACTGCGAGCGGGAGAGGGACAAACTGGAGATGGAGGACGAGTCATGTGAGTAGGCTTCAGCAGCACGGAGCGCACAGTGGGGCAATGGGCATGAATAGCCGCTGGCAGCTTTGTTCTATAGATCCCCTATCACCTCTCTGCATTAGGCTTGGGAGGGCTTTAACACTATTTGTAAATAATGCTATGCCATCAGAGTAGCATGACATGGCCAATTATCAATAATGTATATTTAAACATCTTGTTTTATCAAGGATTTTTCATTTTCCTTTTTCATCAGTAAGTGGTTAATTCTGTACTGACTAATTTTTAAACTACACTATAGGAGTTTACATTGTAGATGTTTCTGTGTGGTTGCTGCTTTTGTTCCTTTTCCTGTCTTGCTCTTTTGATGAACTTCATGAAATTCCAGCAATTATAGGGATGTGTTGCCCAAAGGGGATTTCAGATAGATATGAACTTCCTATGACCCCACTATACAGTTGTCTTTCCATAGGAAGACAAAGGATTTTAAAGCTTTAGCTTTACTTTTCATATCTTTAGCAAGACAAAAACACTCACTTTATTTGAAATCCACCTGTTATCAGAAAGCTGCTTATCCTGATGAAGCAATCGTGAGCCTAGGACAACAACAGTTCTACAGTTCGACAGATCAACAAGAAATAGGTCATTTTAGCTAGCCAATAAGTGTAGCCCATTGTCAGGGACGTCCGAAGGGACTAACCGTGGAGAGGCAGGAGAGCGGAAAAAGACCCATATGCTTAGCGGCGAGACGGGAAAAAGGCCCGGGCTCGTTAGTGCAAAGAGTTCAGGAATGCCGTATAGAAACCTATGCCCTCAGGTAGCAGATGTGGGTTGACCTGGTGCTAGGCGGGTCTCAGGACATCCGAACGTCAATGCTGAGCGTGGACAGAGTGCAAGACCCGGAAATATATAGCCCAAGGGAAAGAGAGGGATCGGAAGAACAGCAGGCAGGAAACTAGGGACCGGACAGAGAAGGCGCGCCCTCTGTCTGCAGAGGGCTTGACACCCATATAGTCAACATCTGCAAAGTGGGAGGAAATCAGAGCACATGGGGAAACCCATATCAATACAGGGAGATCAAGCGAACACCTCATAAAGTTAACCCAGGCCAGAAACATGAGCCATGAGGTAACAGTACAAACCACCATGCCACCATCCTTCTTCAATTTGATGTTATCTTTTTGTCATTTTAAAGTTTTTCCCATTTTGCTGCTGAAATCTGAACAAGCAATTCAAACTTCTGTTATCTGTAAATCGATTTTTAGTAGACAAATACCCTTTGAATCCTTTTACATTGATGTGCTGCTTTAATCAATAGGGACTGTAGTGTCATGATTAGCAAACTTGCCCCGACTGCTTCGGGAGTCCCGGGTTCAACTCTGGCCTCCAGCGCCTGTGTGTGTAATGGCTGCCTGTTTAGTTTTTTTGACTCATTCCACTCACCTTTCCCAGATTTATGACAAAGGCCGGTCTGGGAATCCCCATCTCGTTACCTCTTTGTGAAAAGAAAATTACCATCCGTTGCCATGGAGCGTGTTTCCTTTCTCTTGAAGGCAAGGAGAAGAAGAGAGCTGAAGAGGTCCTCGCCACTGTGTCTCTGGCCCCCGCAGAAGCACTGTGGACCACAGAGGCAGGAGGAGCTGTGAAGCTCAGAATAGATGACTCCTGCCCACAGAGGCCCATCACGGTCCACCAGATGTTCATGTCTTCGGTACAGAAGTATGGGAGCCTTTATGCTCTGGCCACAAAGACGAAGGATAAATGGGAAAAGATTACCTTCTCGGAGTACTACAAGCTCTGTCGGGCAGCAGCAAGGAGCTTCTTAAAGGTAAAATCCAGGTGGATGCTGCACATTGGTGGTGGTGGAGGGGAGTCCCCATTACCTGTAAAGCGCTTTGAGTGGAGTGTCCAGAAAAGCACTATATAAGTGT